TTATGGGATTTGTGATTACTTAATCCTCATTTTGAACTTTAAATACATGAGCAGATTATAGAAGTTCATCCTATTGATAAGAGTATCACATACTTGTTTGCTTTTGAACTCAACTATAATTGCACCATGAATTTGTAATTTTGGTAATTTATGGATTCAGTTCACATTTAGTGCTTGACATGAATAGTGGAGATGAGTAAGAACCCATGTGAGCTTTAGTGTCAATCCTTGTTGGAGGGAACTTACATCTACTCAAGGAACAATTTTTTAAATTCTAAATGTGTTCAATAATCTCATTATGTTTGTTTTGGTTAGGTGCATTTGGGTAGTTAATTGACTTTGTCTTGATATGTACAATGCTCCCCTATGCTTGTCTAGAGATGATCTTAGGCCATTTTTGATTTCTTTAAGCCTTAGCCATTTTCTTGGAAAAATTTATCTCTAGTGCCATGCTTGAGCCTTAAATGAAAAATTCATTTCTATGCCACACATTTGACCAAGCCAATGCAAAATGATAGAAATCTACCTCACCTTGGTTGTTCCTAGAGCTGAGTATGAATGATCATAAAAGAGAAGGAAGTATGGTGGATGAATGAAGTTGAATTCAAAGAGTTGAACGGAAAAGAGAAAAAATTCAAGAAAAGGAGAGAAAGGGGTGAAAGAAGAAAGAAAGATCAAAGAGAAAGGAAACTGTTAAGGAAAAGAAAAAAAAAGAAATAAAGAGTAAAGTGATGGTGTTGACTGAAAAGCCCATAGAAAAGGAGATCTTTTTGAAATAAATGTCATGCACTCGGAACAACCCTCTTTGTTATCCTATATCCTTCATTTTATTTACCTAAATATCACCCCAAGGCCTCATTACAACCCTTGAAAGTCCTAAATGATCTAGAGAAAGCATGGGGGATGCATACTTTTAAAGAAAAAAGAGAAGGTAATTTTGCTATCTAATGCTCTAGCATTCCTTTTATGAGATTATGCCAAGGTTATTTCATTGTCATGCATCTACTTTATTTTTGGATTATGTGTGAGCATATTTCATTTTGTGCACAAGATTCTATCTCATATATACACATGGAGAGTATGTCGGGATAACTATAGTGTGATTCATTGTGAGAGACAAAGTGAATGTGAACTCTGTTGTGTAAATGTTTAAATTACATGTCCATTTCACACACACAGGAGTTTGAAAATGAATGTGTATGTGCATACTCTAGAATAGCATTTAAGGCTATGATGTGTTTCATGTGTGATTTGTTCGGGTGCATTGGACCAAGTTATTTTGACATCCCAGTGCTAGTTAAGATAAGGGAATATGCTTTAAATTTTTGTTACGAGAAAAAGAAATTTGTAGGTACCTTCACTGGAAACCTTCACGAGACAAAACTCGTCCACTAGGGATCACCTAGGGGTTTAAAGGCTTGTTGTATATGCTAAATACAATTGCGAAATTAGTATAGGTTTATCTTTGTTTGCTTAATTTTTATATTTTTTTTGCTAGGGACTAACAAAAATTAAGTTGTGGGGTGTGATGAGCACTTAATATTGTATATTTAATGGCCTCATTACATGCATTTTAACTCAACCTTTGCATTTAAGTACTTAGAGTTAGCCGAATTTATGAATAATGTTGAATTTTCGATGTTGCAGGTAATTATAGTGTAAATCATGTATTTTAGAACCTTGAAACTATGTGTGGATGTGTGGTGAAGATATGGACACGTTACTTGAGGATTTGGAGGCTTAAAAGTGAAAGAAATCAAAGAGGTATTGGTGCTTGGCAACATAGGCACCAACGCCCGCATCATTTGGTTGCAGTACCTCAGTTTTCCTCCTTTTTGACCATGCGCCCCTTCGAATCTGAAGAAGTTAAAAATATGAAACTTGTAGATATGGATGTTTTCTTTATTGTGTCAAAATTCCAGCTCAATCGGACGGTTGGATCCAAAGTTATGATAATTCTACGAAAACTGGTCCGTAGCAAGCAACCTACCGGAAAGACCTACTGGTAGTTTTTACTCCAGTAGCCAAAACCTACCGATAGATTGCTAAAAACCTACTGCTAGGTTTTACCCAAAATGCCCAAAATGCTTGCAACTCATGCTCCACTTGCTTAGGGACCATTGATTCACCCACCTGTCCCCTGACATCCCTTACACATTTACATGCTTCCTACACCCTAGTTGAAGACTTTGGAGGTAATGACATTAATGCGGATGGGAAAGAAGGGGGTAGCCATAATGGGTGCAGGCTAAACTCTTCCTAGCTTGTCCAATGCATCAAATCACCCCCCATTGATGGGTGGCCTGTGCACCTATGCTAGGGGGACCAATAGGGACGAAAATGTAAGGCTCCTTCACCATATATTCAGCATTAGGAGTAGTTCAAGGAAGAAGGTGATGAATAGTGCTAGAGAGACAAAATTGATGTGTTTGCATTTTCTTCACCCATTTCAATGCAGTAAGTTGTAGTTCTCTTGTAATCTTTATTTCTTGCAATGTAATATCTTTTAATTCTAGTGTAATCAAGTTTAATTCAATGTTCTTGCATTTCCATAATCTTTGTTGGGTTTAAATTTCTTCTCGGCAACTTTTTCATTTTAGTGTTAAATGAACTTCTTTTGTAGTTTACCATTTCCTAGCATTAATACAAGTTCTAAATTTCATTTTCATCTCATTTTCATTTCCATTTCAATACCATGTCTCTTTACATCATGTATGTCTTTCCCTTTAGCATGAGTAGCTAGATTTTAAGTTGGCTAATTCAAGGGAGAACTTCTCTTGGGAATGCCAAATCAACTCACTTTCTTTCCTCCTCTCAGAGTACGATGGTTCTATTTGACTGGGTTGGGGTGAGGACATGCTTGTGAGTTCTTGATACACCGTAGGCATTGTCACGGGGTATGCTTGAATCCTCATCTCCATTTTAGTTTTGAGCTAGCCACGAATCAACCGTTCATCTAAGCTCTATTCGAGGAAGACTTCGAGTTGATTTGGGATTCCCATTGGAGTGAACCTTTTGGATTAGCCAACACTTGTTTCCCATTTTATTGTCCTTAAGAACACAACTCACCAAAACTCAAAACAACAAAAGATTTTACACTTTTACATTTTCACAAAATCACCTTTACACTTGAACTTTCCTTCCCTAAGGAGACGACCTTGGAATTCTTTTCCAAGTAAAACACGACACTCAAAAGACTCCTTGCATTTGGGGAGCACTTTGGTTCACACACACACATTTAATTCATTTCATATTCGATCATTTCGTTGCCCCTTTTCCCCCATCATTCCGAGGAAGTGTCACACTCCCCCATTCCTATAAGCCATACACATCGAGGGATGATGTTAAGAGGTTAGGGAATACAACAGAGAACATCAAGCTAATGCCCCCAAGTGCCTCCAACATGGTTGAGTCACCTAATAAGTAGGTGAGGGGAGGAGTATGGATCTAGGTGTAGCATTCATGCATTGCATATTTTTACTTTGTTTCCATAAATGAAAAACACAAAAACAATTGAAAATTAGAAATACAAAAGATTTTTGAAGTCTAGTTGGACATTCATTTTAGGACTTATGACAATTGCTTTAATTTTTTTGTTTGTTGCATGTTTATGTATATGTTTTTAGGTTATTTAGAAAAGTAAAAAAGCATTGGAAAAGAAAAGGCAAAACAGTTTTTTTTTGTTTGTTTTTTGTTGTTTACCATGGTAATCACACTTTGATTTGATTTATAGTATATCCATCATTAATTCAATGTTGAGTGTATTACAATGAGAAATATTAGGAAATAGAGAACTTGATAGTCATAAGTCTTTGTGCTTTATCCTTGAACCATTCTATTTATCCCTAGCGTACTTGGATTATGTGTTATTTGTAAAAATTCAAAAACTAGTAACACACCAACCATTCACCTTAATACTTAGGAGTCTAGCTAGCTTAATAGATTAATGACTTTACACAGCTCAAAGTGTTGGTGATAGGTGAACACATTGTTATAAAAACAAAATAAAAAAAAGGGTGAACACATTGTTTAAGGTTAGTAAACCCCATATCTCCTAAAATATGCCACAGAGCCAAATTTTAAAAAGGTGAGGCAGAAAATAAATGGCTAAGTATAAATTTCACTTGAATTGTTGAGATTGCTATATACTTAATGTAATTTCTCACTTGTAAAGTAGAAGGGGTGAAAAATAATGGAGAATGTTTAAAAAAGTATAGGAAGAGAAAATATGCATTTAGAACACTCACTAACTAGTCATGTTTTCACTTACACGATGCATTAGGAATTCAAGTAGAGATCTACTACTCCATTAGTCTAGATGGATTCCTAATAGTGCTAGAGATTGGTTTCACACATGTCACACTTGAATTGACAAAATTTGCAATATTTGAACATGTGTGAATGAACTTGAACTAAGTGAGAGGACATGACTCTAGGATGCATGAAAATTTAGTTCTACATTCTTTAATATTCCTTATAGTAATGTTCTTAATGTTGAAATAAGGATGGATATGTTATATTGAGAATATGTGTAATTTTTATGATTTATGATATTGTACATTTTAATTGTTCAAATTGATAATATCCTTATTCCATCCATGCATGTGTATCATATTGCATTTAGGTTGTACATACCCTCATGCATGTTTTTGAGGCTTGAAGGATGATTTGGAGGATTTTGTAAAGGGCCGAGATGGTTAATGGCAGGTCCAAAGCTGATATGTCAAATTGATAGAAAATTTTTAGGGACCAACTGAGCGATCTTGACACCGGTTGAGCGATTTTGCGATCAATTAGTGCCTAGGGGTTTTAAATAGTCAGCTACATGACCCAGTTTTTCTACTAAAAACTTCCAAACATGATCCTGGCCTCCAAAAACCCTCACCGATCAATACCAAACACATGCTTGAGTGCTTCTAGTGAGATTTGATTCGTGATTCACTTGATCTACATTCTTAGACCTAAATTTAAGATTTCTCTGTGATCATGCCTCCATTAAGGGAGAAACATGTCAGGGTTAAGGAAAACCAAGAGGCTGTTGTGGTAATCTTTGATAAGAGCACTCAATTCCAAACCCTAGAATGTGAAGAGAGGCACTGGCTTGAGTACACTTGTAGTAGTGCCAAAGAAGTTGGGGGGTCACTATGGTTGCAAATGAGGAGAATGAGTTGATTTCAACAAGGGTGGTCACCGGTTGGAGAGTTTGTATCGGCTATCAGAAACTCAACTCATGTATAAGAAAATATCATTTCACCTTGCCTTCCTTGACCAAGTGTAGGAGGGAGTAACCAAACACCTCTATTATTGCTTCTTGGATGGCTACTCCGATTACAACCAAATCAAGATTGCTTTGGAGGACCATGAGAAGGCAACTTTCACGTGCCCTTTTGGTACCTTTGCTTATTGCCGAATGCCATTCGGGTTGTGTAATGCCCCTGGAACTTTTCAGAGATGCACGGTCTGAATCTTTAGCGATATGGTGGGAAAATTGTGGAGGTGTTCATGGATGATTTCTCAGTTTTTGGGGACTCATTTGAGGGGTGTTTGGAGAGTTTGGAGAGAGTGTTTGAAAGATGTGAGAAAAATAACTTGGTGCTAATTGGGAGAAGTGCCACTTCATGGTGACACAAGGGATTATGCTGGGGCACATTGTATCAAAAAAGGGGATTGAAGTAGACTAATCCAAGGTGGAAGCAATTTCCAACCTCCCTACGCCAAAGGTCATCAAGGATATCAGGTTGTTTCTTAACTATGCCAGTTTCTATTGTAGATTTATAAAGGATTTAAGTGCATTGGCAAGGCCTTTGACCAATTCTAGCAAAGGATGTTCCCTTTGCATGGTCGAATGATTGTGAGGCTTATTTTTAAAAACTCAAAAGCATGTTCACTTCACCTCCAATCATATGACCACCCAAATGGGAACTCCCATTTAAGCTCATGTGCGATGTAAGTGATTTTGCGGTCGGTGCAGTGCTCGGTCAAAGGGAAGAAAAAAGACCATATGTAATATACTACGCTAGCAAGACTATAATTGAAGCACCAATGAATTACACTACCACCGAAAAAGAGTTGCTAGCCTTAGTATTTGTATTTGACAAATTTAGCTCTGACATCATTGGTTCGGCTATTGTAGTATACACTGATCACTCTGCTTTGATGTATTTTTTTTCTAAGAAGTATGCAAAACTGAGACTCATTAGGTGGTTCCTCCTCCTGCAAGAATTCAACCTGACCATTAAAGACAAGAAAGGAGTGGAGAATGTGGCGGCGAACCATTTTTCCTGCCTTGTTGTCCAAGATGCCGAAGAGCATATTCTTATCCTTGACTCTTTTCCCGATGAGCATTTATTTTCTATTCATTCTATTTGCCCTTGGTATGTTGACATCTGTAATTATCTTGCCATAGGACAAATACCACCGTATTGGAGCCCAAATGACATACGAAGATTCATGGTGGATGTGAAGTACTTCTACTTTGACAACAGGTATTTGTTAAAATATTTCCTAGATCAAGTGATGAGGAGATGCATACATAAAAATGAACAACGGGATGTCCATTCATTTTGCCATTTTGAGGTATGCGGTGACCACTTCTCTTCAAAGAAAACTTCGGCTACGGTGTTGCAATCTGGTTTTTATTGGCCCTTTTTAATCAAAGATTGTGTTTCATTTTATAAAGAGTGTGATAGGTGCCAAAGGTTGGGTAGTGTGACCCGTAGGAATATGATGCCCCTTTCCCCCGTGCTAGTCATTGAGATATTCGATTGTTGGGGCATCGACTTCATTGGTCCTTTCCCTATATCCTTTGGCAATCGACTATGTGCCCAAGTGGGTAGAGGCCATCCCAGCCAAAACAAATGACCATTGAGGTGTGGTCAAGTTTTTAAAGGAAAACATCTTTTTTAAGGTTTGAGGTACCTTGTGCAATGATAAGAGACGGTGGGTCTAATTTTTGCAATAGGTCATTTGCATCTCTAATGCATATAAATGGCGTAACACACAAGTTTTCCATCGCTTATCACCACAGACTAATAGTCAAGCCGAGTTAGCAAATTGGGAGATTAAAAACATACTAGAGAAAATGATGAGTCCGAATTGAAAGGATTGGTGACTTAGGTTGACCGATGCCTTGTGGGCTTACCGCATTGCCTGCAAGACCATTTTAGGTTTGTCTCCTTATAGGCTAGTCTATGGCAAGGCTTGTCATTTGCCATTAGAGATGGAGCAGAAGGCTTATTGGGCCATCAAAACCTTGAACTTCAATTTGAGAATGACCGGAGAGAATAAGAAGTTGGAGTCGAATGAATTAGCGAAAATTCGGAGAGATGCATATTAGAGCTCAAAAATTTCCAAAGAGAGGGCAAAGATCTTTCATGACAAATTGATTATGAGAAAAACAATTGAGCCTAGACAAAAAGTGCCCTTGTATAATTCTCGACTCTCTATTTTTCAAGAAAAACTTCGATCTTGTTGGGAAAGGTCCGTATCTTGTCAAAGTGGCTTACCTTAATGGAGCCGTGAAAATTACAAACCCCAAAGATGGCAAAACTTTCAAGGTCAATGACCAAAGACTTAAGCCATTCTTTGAGGGTCGAGGTTCAAATGGTGGAGGAAGAGTTAGTGGATCCAGTTTACCCAAACCTTGTTGAGGAATAATTGTCCAAGTAGATTTTATTGTACAATCACTTTCTTTTATCCTTTACTTTTCGAGTTAATTTGTTTACGTACTTTCGTCTTTGCATAGTTTTCTTTCTTCAAATGTGTACATTATGGTGTTTTTGTCAAAGCTCAGTGTGAGGTGTTCTCTAACCCTACTTATCTTTTTAAGTCCATCATTGCATTCTATATATTTTTGTTGCATTGTGGACAATGTGTGGATCAAGTTGGGGAGTGAGGTGCCCCATTTGTAGGATACACCAAATTTTTGTGGAAAGTTTTTGTTGATAATACCATTTTGTGGTGAAATTCACCATTCACATGCTCTACAGAGTTTTGTTTAGAATAGTTGAGAAATATGTGAAATTTTTTTAAACTTTTTTGTGAAAAATATCTGAATTTTGACCTATATTCCCCTTTCAGAGTGTCACGGGTTTTTAGATATTTTGATCTTTGCTTTGAATTTTGAATACATGAGCACATTATAGATGTTTATCCTATACTTGAGTATCACATATNAGAGATGCATATTAGAGCTCAAAAATTTCCAAAGAGAGGGCAAAGATCTTTCATGATAAATTGATTATGAGAAAAACAATTGAGCCTAGACAAAAAGTGCCCTTGTATAATTCTCGACTCTCTATTTTTCAAGAAAAACTTCGATCTTGTTGGGAAAGGTCCGTATCTTGTCAAAGTGGCTTACCTTAATGGAGCCGTGAAAATTACAAACCCCAAAGATGGCAAAACTTTCAAGGTCAATGACCAAAGACTTAAGCCATTCTTTGAGGGTCGAGGTTCAAATGGTGGAGGAAGAGTTAGTGGATCTAGTTTACCCAAACCTTGTTGAGGAATAATTGTCCAAGTAGATTTTATTGTACAATCACTTTCTTTTATCCTTTACTTTTCGAGTTAATTTGTTTACGTACTTTCGTCTTTGCATAGTTTTCTTTCTTCAAATGTGTACATTATGGTGTTTTTGTCAAAGCTCAGTGTGAGGTGTTCTCTAACCCTACTTATCTTTTTAAGTCCATCATTGCATTCTATATATTTTTGTTGCATTGTGGACAATGTGTGGATCAAGTTGGGGAGTGAGGTGCCCCATTTGTAGGATACACCAAATTTTTGTGGAAAGTTTTTGTTGATAATACCATTTTGTGGTGAAATTCACCATTCACATGCTCTACAGAGTTTTGTTTAGAATAGTTGAGAAATATGTGAAATTTTTTAAAACTTTTTTGTGAAAAATATCTGAATTTTGACCTATATTCCCCTTTCAGAGTGTCACGGGTTTTTAGATATTTTGATCTTTGCTTTGAATTTTGAATACATGAGCACATTATAGATGTTTATCCTATACTTGAGTATCACATATGCTTTTGAACTCAACCATAAGTGCACCTTGAATGTGTAATTTCGACAATTTATGGATTGAATTCACATTTTAGAGCTTGACATGAATACTGGGAATGATTAAGTACCTATGAGAGCTTTAGTGTCAGTCACTGTTGGAAGAAACATNAGAGATGCATATTAGAGCTCAAAAATTTCCAAAGAGAGGGCAAAGATCTTTCATGACAAATTGATTATGAGAAAAACAATTGAGCCTAGACAAAAAGTGCCCTTGTATAATTCTCGACTCTCTATTTTTCAAGAAAAACTTCGATCTTGTTGGGAAAGGTCCGTATCTTGTCAAAGTGGCTTACCTTAATGGAGCCGTGAAAATTACAAACCCCAAAGATGGCAAAACTTTCAAGGTCAATGACCAAAGACTTAAGCCATTCTTTGAGGGTCGAGGTTCAAATGGTGGAGGAAGAGTTAGTGGATCTAGTTTACCCAAACCTTGTTGAGGAATAATTGTCCAAGTAGATTTTATTGTACAATCACTTTCTTTTATCCTTTACTTTTCGAGTTAATTTGTTTACGTACTTTCGTCTTTGCATAGTTTTCTTTCTTCAAATGTGTACATTATGGTGTTTTTGTCAAAGCTCAGTGTGAGGTGTTCTCTAACCCTACTTATCTTTTTAAGTCCATCATTGCATTCTATATATTTTTGTTGCATTGTGGACAATGTGTGGATCAAGTTGGGGAGTGAGGTGCCCCATTTGTAGGATACACCAAATTTTTGTGGAAAGTTTTTGTTGATAATACCATTTTGTGGTGAAATTCACCATTCACATGCTCTACAGAGTTTTGTTTAGAATAGTTGAGAAATATGTGAAATTTTTTTAAACTTTTTTGTGAAAAATATCTGAATTTTGACCTATATTCCCCTTTCAGAGTGTCACGGGTTTTTAGATATTTTGATCTTTGCTTTGAATTTTGAATACATGAGCACATTATAGATGTTTATCCTATACTTGAGTATCACATATGCTTTTGAACTCAACCATAAGTGCACCTTGAATGTGTAATTTCGACAATTTATGGATTGAATTCACATTTTAGAGCTTGACATGAATACTGGGAATGATTAAGTACCTATGAGAGCTTTAGTGTCAGTCACTGTTGGAAGAAAC